CCGCTCGCACCCTGCTCTACAGTTTAGCACACCGTGACAGGTATCGATACCTGCTTCACGATATTTCGCTGAGAATGATAGGCATCCTGTATCCGTAGTTCATACAGGGTACAAGATTTGGGGGTAATACTACAGCTGCCGGAGCTCAGTGATACTAATGGGTGCCCGACATTCCCATATCTTCTCAATCCTGAGCCCTGCCTTGTTAGCGATGACCTCCAGTTGCTCCGGGGACCGCTCGCTGCCGTTGAACATGGAGAGCATCGATATGTCGTGCATGCCTTTGAACGCGTTTGCCTGCCCGTAATTCGCCAGCAATGGCGCTGGTGCGCTTTTGAGGTGAGTCGAACCCAGGGGTGGATGCATGATCATGTCTGCGATCAGGATACGCGACTGCGGACACATGGCGTCCCGTAGCTTGCTCAAGATTGCAGTGCAAGCGTCGTCCGGCCAGTCATGTCTGGACATCAAGGTGAGTAGATATCGCGGTGCAACACCGTCGCTACTCACAAGATATACCGCAGGATATACGCCGCTGCATTCTTCACAGGCTGCTTCGTGAAGAAGTCGTGCGTAATGAGATTTACGCGCCCAGATTCGAGTGCGCCTGGGATCTCCGCGTTCCAGATGGGCTTTGCTTTCTCGATCGAAGTCGGAAGGTCTTCCACAACAAAGCGTAGGTCAGGAAAGAGCTTAGCGAGGTCGAGACACATGCTGCCCACGCCTCCTCCGACGTCCACGACGGTACCTTCACCCAGAGATGCCCAAGGGAAGTCTGTGTGACCCGGTGAGCGAATTCTGGAACGATGGCTATGATACAACAGATGTTAACCCACCCGCAACGACAGCAGTTGAGCTCATCTGTCCTTGACCGATCATGGCAAGAGGGAACATTTCACGAATTTCCGCAATCATCGGGTCGGACCCGTCGCCATTCTCGATGAGATCCCAAGGCGACAATTGTGTCTTGTGCGCTTTTTGAAATGCGGTCTCCGTGTTAAATGTGGAGTTTGTGGACGTCGGGGCAAGTAACGTTGTAGGGAGATGTTCCATTGCCCCGGTCACCGCCATGGTGCCGCTGAGATGTTCCGGTCAATAATTCTTCACTGCCATACGTAGGTAATGGCGCACTAAAGGCACTGGAATGCGCTCGCCGGTGGATTGCCTGCAAGGACGCGGCTGATCCGTGTATTCGTGAACCATAAGGGCTCAGTCTCTTCGTAGAGCCCGTCGCTGCACAGCACACGCATCAGTCTCACTGGGACAAAGATGCGTGAGTTCCATTTTGCAATCGGGCTATCGACTCTGTAGAATGCTTACCAAGCTTCTGCTCGCCAATCCCAGTGCACCGACTGAGCTCCTCAGCCCTGACTCCATCTGGTTCTGCTTCCGCCAGTATGTTGGGTACTCCTGCGCGCAGCGTCGTATCAAGAGATTGGGACAACGTGAAGGACAGCGCAACTTCAAAGAGGCGAGTACGGGGATCTCCAACCAGGTTGATACACATCCCGCACGCGCCGCGGATGATACGCTGCGCTTCAAACAGCTCGTGCGAGGGCAAGCCGGATATCTCCGGGTACTGGTCTTCTGCCTCCCATTCCTTGGTAACCACTTCGGAGTAGTCAACGAGGAGCCGGACGAGGGAGCGGAGGGTCTGCGCCCTATTGCTGTTGTCGTTGGAGGCAGGCATCTGTATGGATGCTTTGGACGTGCTGTGGTTATTATGGTCACTCTCTGATACGGTCCATCAAGGCGTGGCCAGCTTCTACTCGTGTTAGTTGTGGACCCCAGAATCATAGCGGGAGTCTGTCTTGCCACCTTTGCTTGAAAGTCTACACGCGATAAGCCGCAGCTAGTAGCATGGTAATCAACATCCCGGATTGAGTATGAATGACGCCGGAGTCACTGCCACTCACTCGCATGAGGAGTTATCGATAAATGGCTTCTTCTCCTGACCTCATTCACAAGGGAGGCTGACAAACGCGGGCTAGCTCTTGAACTCTTAAGTCGGAAGGTCTGATCACTGTAGGGATGAAAGTAACGCCTGTAAATTGATATTGTTGTCGTAATACTAGCATGCTGGTGTTCATCATAAATCTGTCTGGTGACAATGGGGCGCTCTGCGTCGGACCAAAAGTACCCACACAGGTCGTCTCCGCCTCGAGCCGCTCGAGCGTACGATGATTGTTGCACGCGTTTTCAAGAGCAACTGCATCGAAGAAATAGTTGTTACGAACAGACCAGGGATATGAGCGGTTACAGTGAGGCCTCTATTCCATTGACGGGGCGCTCGATCTGAAATGCACAACAGGGCAAAGTAGACGATACCGTGCCTGAGATCACATAGTGGTATACGATACGCCGCTTATTCACAACGCCCGAAGCTCAGTAATGCTTAGCGGGCCCCGACACTCCCATATCTTCACGATCTCCAGTCCAGCTCTGTTTGCAATGGCACCCAGCTGTTCAGGCGTACGCTCGGCGCCATTGAACATGGCGAGCATGAATATGTCGCGCATGCCTTGGAACGCACTCGCTCCACCAAAATTCGCAGGGAGAGGCGCTGGAGCACTTGTGAGGTGCATCGAGCCCAGGGGAGGGTGGATGACCATATCAGCGACGAGGATTCGTGAATCCGCGCTCATGGCCTCACGGAGTCTGCTCAAGATCTTCACACAATCGTCATCGGGCCAGTCGTGCCTGACAGAGCTAGATGAGCTAACCTGCGCAGGGAAGTGTAGGCGTTACTTACAGGATACAGCGGAGGAAGTACACGTCCGCGCCTTTGACAGGCTGCTCCGTGAAGAAGTCATGCGACAACAGCTGCACTCGCTTGGCTTCGACTGCGTCTCCGCACTCGGCACTCCAAACGGACTTTGCCTTCTCGATAGTAACTGGTAGGTCTTCGACTACGAAGCGTAGATCTGGGAAGGCTTTGGCGAGCTCAAGGCACATGCTGCCCACGCCGCCTCCGATGTCCACGACGGTGGCTTCCCCTAGAGATCCCCAAGGAAAGTCTATGCACGACAAGCCGTTCGCGACACTTAACAAGCTACCAGAGCGTGAGACGCAGAAGGAAAGACTTACCAGCAAGAAGGGAAGGTGAACTCATCTGGCCTTCGCCGACCATACTGAGCGGGAACATCTCGCGGATCTCCAGGACGTTTGGGTTGGTCTTGTCCCCCCGCTCAGTGTAGTCCCAGAGTGTCTCCTTCGTTCCATGTGCGTTCTGAAATGCGGCATCGGTCGCGGAAGTGGAGCTCGTTAGATCTCGGTCGAGCAACGTCGCGGGCAAATATTCGAGGGCGTCGACGACTGGCTCAGTATTGCTGCGGGGCTCTCATATTAGTGCGGCTTCAAGAGAACTTGACGATGCTGAAAACACACAAGATGCACTGAAATGCCTTCGCCGGCGGATTCGCGACGAAAACACGGCTTACACCCGTATTAACAAATTGCAGATGTTCGACCTCGTCGTAGATTCCGCTAGAGCATAACAGCCGCATCACACGAACTAGATTAACCAAACATGAGTTCAAGACCGTTCTATTCAGGCAGCAAGCGGTGAATAGAGGTGCGCACCAAGCTTCCCTTCGTCGATGCCCGTTCGCTGGCTGAGCTCGGCTGCGGATACACTGCCAAGCGGCCCCGCCTCCGCCAGTATATCCGGCACGCCTGCACGCAACGTCGTATCGAGCGCCTTGGTCGCAGCGAAGGACTCTGCCAACTCTTGTATACGATGGCGAGGGTCCTCGACCAAGTTGATAAACATATCACATGCGCCGCGGACGATGCGTCGCGCCTCATAGAGCTTGCGTGAGGGTAGGGCGAACGTCGGAGTCCCGTCAAGACCAGGACGATGGTGTTCTTCTGTTTCCCATTCTTTGGTGATCGCCTCAGACGTATCGACGAGCAGCCGAGTGAGAGAGCGCAGCGTTCGTACGCGATCGCTGGTGGTAGAAGAAGGCATTGGTACGAGTGTTCAGTGCGAAGTGCGACATCCTAGCCCTCTGGTAGCCCTGATTTTATGGCGAACTCCAGGCAAGTCAGCAAGTTGTTGTTCAGGTCAAACCCAGCTTTCTCCGCGACGCCGCGACACTGGGCCATTCAATCTACTTCGTGATTGTGTCAGATACGACCCGCTAAGGTTAGATGTAGCGGTTAGCACGGGGAGAAGCACAGTTCGTCTGATCGCGTGTCCGACCAGTGTCCGATTTTGAGTCCATGCCGAGGCTAGTGTCCCATCCGCGCGCTGCAGCTCCGCGACAACCCCGTTTTCACCCACGAGTCTTTGGACACCATGCAAAACGCACTCACATCATAGGACGCGGCTCGCAGACCTAGCCACCCCCTGCACAGAAGCCTTGTGTTAAGTACTTGATGACCATGTTGGAATACACACAGTCAGGGACACGATCTCACCAGCTCGGGCCCGATAGTACCTGGCCGATACAAGGTGGGTGAGGCCATGTACAGCCATGTACACACGTCTTTTCTGCGTAGTTACCTGTCCAATTTCAAAGCTGAGTCGGCGCATAACGCAGAGTCATCGCTGGCAATGACATGCATGCGACGCACCGGTCCGTCCGTCGGGTTGTAGTGGTTGAATTTCTGAGCTCATCGACGATGGTATCAGATACGGAAGTACGTAGTGATATTGCGGCAGGGTTCAACGTTCAGACGTTCATGGTTGCAAGCCATGTGCAAATTCGGAGGGGCACGACTTGAGCCGATCGCAGATATCTGGATCGGCGGCAGCCTCGGCGTCAGCATCTTCGCCGTAGTTCTTCGGTTTTAACACACTGTCATGACAGTGCCATTGGTATGAGATACTCGTGATTTACTTGAGATGTTGCCAAAGCAATGACTTACTGTAGATATTGTTGATGAGACTATTCTTCGAACGTGTTGGAGTATCATGTCAACGGGCGCTCTTGGATGGGAATTTCGTTTTGATTAACATCCTGGCCACATCCATAATTATGCTATTTGTGGCTGTCGGCTCAATGGTCTAGTCGTATGATTCGCGCTTCGGGTTTAGTGCTTGATTGCGCGAGGTCCCGGGTTCAATTCCCGGTTGAGCCCTTTTTCCACTCATCTTATGAGATCCCATAAGTCAATGATAGTCTATGTTCCCTCACTTTTTCTGGAAATTTTGAGGCGACGGCGAGAAGGGTGTGGGAGAGGGAACAGAACTCAGAACTGTACGTAGCCAATCGACATGTGGCTGGGCTGGGTGTCGCCGTTTGGAGATAAGATTAGATGGCGAGAGGGTGGGCGATTAGATGAAGAGCCGCGTTCGAACGTCATGCACAAGTGCAGCACCGGCCTGGCAGAGTGCCTGGCTCTCGGAGTAGGTAGTTGCAGCTGTCTTCCACTCCTCTTCCCATGTTCCAACGTTCAGTCAAGGTCCAGCTGCTCAGAAATGCCGCAGGCTACCCGGAAAAGAGAGCCAGTGCCAGTGTAGGCGTCCGCAATGCATTCATCACACGACGGAACAACGCGACTGTGGCTACTGCGTCTCAGGACGTGACCGAACAGTCCAAGGAAGTGAGTGGACTCAGGATGATAGCGCCGCGTGTCGATTATTCAGGTGCATTTTTCAGCGACACGAAGGCTGGATCTTTGTCGACTCGATCTTTCCGTATAGACTCGGGGCTTGGGAGTGAGCGATTACGTTCCGCACTTTTCGTCCCATTGCTTATTCACTACCACTGCATAGTATACGCCGTTACGTGAGCTACTTCCGGAAAGAGACCCTTCTTGATCAACTGCACTCGCTCCTTGCCAATGTCAAAGACGATGGCTTCAAGATTGTCGCTATAGAACCGCACGAGAAGGACGGCGGTGTCTTCGTCAGATTCTCCTATGTCACAAGCACCGAGGATGCCCAGAAGGACATCCTGCACCGACTAAGGGAGGTGACGGCTCAGCATGGCGGGGTCCCCTCGTGGCTCAGTGTGTTGCGCGGAGATATGTGGTTGGTGAAGGGCAAACCATGGCGAGAAGTGAGTGCCCTTGCAGTCTGTCGAAGATGACTTCTGAACAGAATTCGGTGTCTCTAGGACATGAACCGTTTTCCGTCACCCATCCTCCGCGTCTCCTTCGAAGGGCCAGACCTTCCCGAAGAAGCGCTCTACGATCTCCTCCGCGTACGCTTCCCCTTCCTTCGCATGTCCGCAGGACCTCTGAGTTCGCTATTTAGCCATACGGTCGCATCCAAGACCTTTCCCAACCCTCTCCTCCACCTGTGGCTGGTGGGCTTCGCTACTCCACCGTGACCTTCAGCCGGCTGCGCTCCGCCGCCATCGCCCACAACACCATCCACGGCCTCGCCGTGCAGCCGTCGTCTTCATCTGCCAAGACCATCCTCCGGACAACGTACCAGGCGCCGGTGCAGGCCCACGTCATGCGAGACTACATAACGAGCCATCCGCGCATATTCCTGCCAGTGCTCTTCTTCTTGCTCGGTACCCTTACATACACGGTGCGCGCTTCGATCTGGATGTGGCATCGCTCGCTGAGGGCGGCGTAGATATTTGACCCGATCCGTGTGCTCATGGTCGAAGGCACGCTCGAAGGCTGGTTCGACATCAAGCGTCCGTGAACCTTGCCCGTCTTGCTGCTAGTACTGATAGGATCGCGCGACTTACAGAGTTCCAGGCCTACCAGTGGCTCCGCAATACTGCCCTGCCGAGGTTCTCGCTCTCGGATACTTCGGAGAGCGATACCACGCGGGCTCCTGCCCGGAACGTATGGAAGGAGCGCAAGGACGCGGAAAGTGCTGTGGAACGGTACCTTAACGACATGCCCAGTACGCGCGGGTCTTCTCCTGAGAGAAATACAGGCTCATGGGTTACGCTTAGATACGGTGGCGTTTGTCTATGGGCCACAAGGGAGCGGCAAGACAAGTATGATCTCGAGTCTGCTCAAGCAGTCAGGCAGGTGAGTGCTCGCTGATACCTGTGGCTGTGACTTCAGGGTTGATCGTCATGAGCAGGAAAGCAGTAGTTATCGACGTGACAGAACTGTCGAAGGCGACGTCGGACGCGGCGCTCCTCTCGTCCCTAGCCCGGCAGACAGGCTACTGGCCCGTCTTCTCCGTGTTCAACTCGCTCAACAACCTCATCGACCTAGCCAGTGTCGGGCTGATCGGGCAGAAGGGTGAGCTCTCTCTTCCCTCCATGTGCACATATGCTGTTGCGTCCGGTCTGACTCGGACGCCGCCCTCACCAACCAGCCGGCTTCAGTACCTCGCTCACCGACCAGCTCAAGCAGATCCTCGAGGTCGTCGGCACCGGCCTGGGGCGCGTCAACACGACGCACCGCAGGCAGCACGCCCACGCAGTGCAGAACGCACGCCTCGCGGCGCTGCGGCAGGCGGAGGAGGCGCGCGTGCGCGCGCGGATCCGCGAGGGCGCGTGGCACGACGGGCGCATCGACTGCGTCGCGGGGAACGGCGTGATGAGCGAGCTCGGCGTCGGCGACGAGGTGTTCGACCGCGAGGTCGAGGGCCTGCACGTCGTCAGCGCGGCCTCGCAGCGCGGTGGCGAGAAGGCGGCGGGGATGGAGGAGAAGCGGGAGAGGGAGGACGCGCAGAGGCAGGAGAGGAGCAAGGAGGGTCTGGGGACAGTTGAGGCGATGCCGATCGTGATCGTGAAGGGCTTTGCGAGCAAGGGCGGAGGAGCGGGCAAGGAGGAGATGCTGGATGTGCTGTCTCGTTGGGCGGCTAATCTGGCGCAGAACCAGGTAGGGATTCCAACTCGTATGCTGTATCGTCGCCATCCTCATTTTTCTTTCAGGTCGCGCACGTGATCGTCGTGAGCGAGAACCGGGAAAATGCCAAGAGGTTGGCCAAAGGTATATACAGTTTATGGAGTACTTATGGGCACCACTGAATCGTTGGAGTAGCCCTGCCCTCCCAACCACTGAACGTCATCAGCCTATCTGACGCGGACAGCCCAAGCGCCCTCTCGTTTGTCAAGCAGAAACTGCATGACAGCGGCGTCGACATCAAATTTGACAAGGAGCAGATCTCGTATATCCAGCGGCTGGGTGGGCGTGCCAGTGACCTGGACAGCGTCAGTGCTATTGCTCTCCCACCGTAGTGTCATGTGATACTGACAGACGCCGCAGCTCATCCACAAGGTTCGCAACGGCCAGACTGTGCAAGATGCCATCGAGGACATCGTCACCCGGGGCGTCAGCGAGATCCGGAAGAACGCCTTCGGGGAGGACCTCGAGGACGCGAAAAACCTGCCGTGGTCGCGCGAGCAGGCATGGGTATTGATGAAGAAACTCTCGCAGAAGTCTGAGGTAAGAGCTGCCCCACTCGCCTGTCCTCGATCCGGCACATACTGAACGCATATGCAGATATCCTACCACGATGTTTTGCTGGACTTCCCTTTCAAGAACGATGAAACTGCGCTGAGGCATATGGAACACGCCGAGCTCATTGCCATTGGCACGGAGAATGGTCAGTTCTCGATGCGATCGTCCAGGTTCACCATAGATTGACCGCGTATCTTCAGGCCGGCCTTCGACTATCAAGCCCGGCAAGCCTGTGTACAAGTATGTTTTCGAGCGACTCGTACAAGGTCCGTCATATGCTCTGCAGCACTGCAATCAGACCCTTTCTTACGCTGGCTTGCATAGATCCCATCATTCGTGCCACGCAGGACATCGCCTTCAATGAGCGATTAATCGCTGCGTCAGAAAGCATTGTCAAGTCGTGCGAGCAAGAGCTGTTGACGTTGAAGGACGTCGATGCCGGGACTGCGGACTGGATGGGTTCTCGGACAGCCGTAAGGGATCGGATGAACTACCTACTGAGGAAGATGCGATTGGCGGGCGACAAGATTGAGATACTGGAGAGGGAGAACGCTCGGCTCAAGAAGACGCTCTTGAAATGAGCTCTTCATTTCATTTCATCTCTTATCTAGCGATGGGTCATTTCCGACGTTCATATCGAGACACCCCATATAACTCTGTTTCCCATAACACAATTCCCATAACACAACACGGATGGTATAGCTATCGTTCAACATACGCCTACGCCAATATACTAACAGTGTGAAATATAATACGCAATGCATCGACCGTCAGCCCTGCGGATGTGCTACCTGGTACCTATGTACTATCTACCTATGAACATGTTGGATGTGCGAGCCTTCAGCCCTATCGAGATGTGAGTGATGCGTAGGTTCTACCTACCTATGATACGGATGATGCAATGCGATGATGCGTACGTGTGGCCTTCAGCCTGTGACAATCGTATCCGACAGAGCAACTGACGAGTTAGAAACGATCCGGGGCACGGTATAGTGAGAAAACATATGATGCGACGATGATTTGTTGGAGAGACAAGAGGTGGCATGGAGAGGACTGTCTTGGACTGAAGAGGGAAAAAAACTCGACACGAGGATCAAGATGGTTAGCGTTTTCCACCCCTACGAGTGGGTAACTTCTTTATTTGCCTCACACCCGTTGCTGGGGCAGGAGCTGACGCAGCCCCGATATTGAAGACTGCGCCACTAGGCGGCAAAGCCGCTGGCGCGCCAAACGGTGAAGCTGGGGCGGGCGCAGGCGTTTGTGTAGGCTGACCGAACTGGAATGGTGCGTTTGTCGTTCCCGACGCCGATGGCAAGCCAGGATTAGACGTAGCTGGGGAGGCTGGTTGGCTGCCGAAAGGGAAAGGATTCGACGGTGCCGTGGCTGATGTAGGCGTTGCGCTAAACGGAAATCCTGTCGACGACCCGAAGGCAGAGGGACTGGGTGTGCTAGACGTTGCCGAGGTTTGTCCAAACCCACCACTGCCGCCAGAGGATGTCGATCGACCGAAGGCGAATGGGGCTGATGCGCTAGGCGCCGCAGAGGTTTGCCCGAACCCACCCGAACCTCCGAATGAGTTGGGAGAGACAGAAGGAGCGGGGGCATCCGCCGGCTTCTGTCCGAAACTGAACCCGGAGCCACTGGATTGGCCGAAGCCGAAGCCGGAGGTCTTCGTCTCCTGTTTGCTCTCCGTCTTCGCGCCACCAAAGACACTAGGCGCACTGGAAGAGGCACTAAATGTGAAGGGGCTGGTA